GAGGCTGCTATAATGTACCCAGACTTGGCCTGCCTCCCTTGATGCTCAGAAAAAGTTAGATAAATCTGACAACTGATAAACATTCTGTTTCCTTCATCTTTGACCCCAGCTCATCCTTAGCAGCTGGTAGGAGAGCAGATCATCCAATCATCACTTTTGTACTGTGTCTTTAGAAACTCTGTGACTAACAGGGTTGAAACTTAGTGTAAAAAAAGATTAATTAGCATGTCTTTGCAAGATGATTCTTACTCACATTTATCTATTTCTAGAATAAAGGAGCTTGCCCTTTTGGAACTAGAAAACCAACATTGAAAACCAGCTCTGCCCTATCCAACTGAAGGATTTGGGAAGGTGCCTTTCATCTTCCTATCTTGGTTTACAAATGGGGATAATGGCAATCCCTCTCTTGCTACATCATCATGAGTGGGGACATAACAGCACAGTGCTTACCAAGGGTCTTACAAATCGCATCATCAAAAAGGGGTGCTCACTTAGAGGTCTTCCTGAGTGCAGCTTTCCCCAGGTCAGAGTACATATAGCAGACCTGTCCACTTGGGAGTCAGAGACACTGGGAGCATGAACTGCACATCTCTGCAGGCTTTCTCAGTGGTGTGAACAAGTACTTAATGACTTTGGGCCATATCTAGCTGTCAGGTGTGTTCATCTTCCAAGCGCTGATGTATGTGGTGGCCGCCCAGAGCATGTAGACTGATAATCAAAGTGACTTTGTCTGCAATACTAAGTTGTCAGGCTGCCCCAATGGCTGCTGTGATGAGTTCTTCCCCATGTCCCATAGGTACCTGCAGGCAATCCAGCTCATCCTAGTCATCTGCCTCTCACTGTTGGTAGCCATGAAAGTAGCCTTCAGGCAGGAAGAAAAGAGATTACTCCACAATCTTTAGTGTATTTGGTTTTCTCTGGTCCTCATTTTTCAAGTAATAGTGTACCTAGTGACAGCCAAGCATGTGTAGAGCAATGAATGCAATGGTTCCAGTTGCAACAAAATCTTCAGCAGGTTGCACCTCAGGGGCATCACCCGGACTGTACCATTGTGTCCTGTAAGCAGGAAGATGTCTTCAAGGGTGACCTCATCTTTCTGAGCTCACAGACTCATCCTCCTTTCTTAAATGGCATCCCTGAAGAAAACCATTCCATGAGGAGCTTCTTGGAAGGTCAGCAGTATCCTATCTGCAGTGATGGGGCTTCCATCTGTGACTGTGCTGGTGGAGTGCAGCTTGGGTGGTGAGGGGAGCTGTGCCAAGGCGTGGGAGCAGGCAAGACAGAAAATTCTGACAGCTTGGAATCACATCCTGGATTCCTCCAGGCCAGCCACTCTGCACCACAGTTTCTTTCTCTATAAAACGGACATACTGATGCCCACCTCACTGGGCTACTATAAGGAATAGCATTCCAGATGCCCATAATACTCACCCACTTGAGTCTGCAGGTATAGGGAACCCTTATCTCCAGGTGATCGGAACCCTTATCTCCAGGTTAGTGAACCCTTGCCATCAAGTAAGTCTACTCACAGGGAACCGTGAGAAAGAGTAATATTGTCCATAATGTTTCCAAGACTGTAAATGTCTATAGCAGCCGACCATCTCATCTCTTAACTTTGGAACGGCTTATGATGTTCAAACAGTGAATGTTTTGGTTAGCAGCATAGTGTTTACCAATTATAATACTTGGATTCCTTTTATGCTTAAGACTCAAAAGACGCTGGAGGCTGGTCTATGGTGGCCTGGGGGCTGTAAGGGTAAGGACAGGGGTCTCTGAGTCGGACACCTAATTTTCATCTAAATTCCTCTGGAGTTCAGGAGAGTGCTTTCCATTTCCCTCAAAAAACCTGGTTCATTTACTTCCCTCAAGAGGTAGGTATGAGACAAAACAACTTCATAGACATGGAAGGGTTTAATCACTTGGAAAATCCACATAAATGTTAATCATGGGTTTTAGGAAGTGTTCCATGTAGGGCAGTGGGAAAAGAGAGAGAGGGATCCCCTCCTTGACTGCACATTCACATTCCTTGTCCTGAGAGTGGGACAAGTTCAAGGTCCCTCTACAATCTGTACTGGGAAACACCCCTAAGATCAACCAGAACTCAGCAGAAAGTAGCCCCTAGAAGTTTCTCCAGCTGGAGGATTTTTGAGCTGAATCCAAGTTGTCATAAATGTTGCCATCAAAATCAAGACTAGTGTCCCAGAGCAAAAGTTGGAAGCAAGAGGCCCTGGGAGAGAGCTAACAGGGGTAACAAGGCAACAGAAAGAGAACACATGCTCCTGTCAGTGCTCACTGGGCTTGGGGGTGGGGACAACATGGCTCCTGGCTCCCTCATTGAAGTCTCACTCACTGTTACCAAGTTCAATTATAATTCTCAAAAATAGGTGCTTAAATCTTGAGTAATTCTATGTGAGAACAGCATTTTCTTTGTTATTTTTAACACGATAGATCCTACAACACATTCAATTCAACTCACCTCATTGCCTTTCAGTCAAAAACAACTCACAGCTGACCCTTCAGCAGATTTTCAGAGGCTATAAATTGTATGGGAAGAGATTTCTCCTCTTTTTGAGAGCTGCTGGTGAGTTCAAATCTCCAGAGAGGAAAGGAACTACCTTTGCGTTAACAGCACAACTCCCTACAATGAAACCACCAGAGCTCCCTACACATTTTAGTGCAGGGTGCATGTTAAACTAATTACCTTAGAGATTTTTTAAAAATTATTTTCAACACAGATGCAAGCACAAATGTAGAGGTAAATATGGCCACATGAAGATCAGCAAGCAACTGAAGCTGAAAAGCTGACAGAAAATGAGTTCTCCTAGATAGTCAGTGGCCAGTGTAGAAACGTCCAGCCTCCTAAATTGTGAGAAAAATAAATGTGTTTGTTAAAGTAAGTCACTTGCAGTATTTACATTATAGCAGCAATAAGAAACTGAAACACTGACACACATGCTACCTCTGGGAACCATGCCACACAACTTGTTTGATGAAATATCATAGACCAGTATAGAAGGGTCTAGGGTATTTCTTCTGAAAACTTGGCCTAGGAAAGTTGACATGCCTGCACTCTCACTCACTCTTTTGACTCATTGGCTTGGAAAGATTCATCCAGCAGGAGAGGGAAGTATAAGAGCCCTCTCCTGGAATTCTTGGACAGAAGGACAGCTCAGGACTGGAGAGCAGTAACTGGATCCAACAAGGGTGAGCACTAAGCGAGTGAGGGGACTGGGCTGAGAAGCAAGAGGTCAGCCAAGCTGAGAGTGCCTGGCGGTGCTCCGGTGACAGGCTGTTCTCAGGGAGGAGGAGATGCTGGGAGTGGGTCAGGCTTTCACCAAAAACTCTGGAAAAAACCTTATTGAGGGAGAAGGTAAGTCACATCAGACTAAAGAGAGGACAGAGGACCAAGCAAAGAAGTGGAAGGATCAAGAAGAAATGTGATTTCAGTTCAGGTTAACACACATTTAGTACGTATACACTGACAAGATCGGGTACTGGATCCTGGGAACTCAATTCATTGACATTGAGTTAGAACCAATTCATTGATGACCCTGAAGCAAGACTTAGAAAAGGCTGAAAATCACAGCGGATGGGATTTCCCATCTTTCCTCCAAGCAACCGCTGGTGGATTACAGCGGTCAAAGAGCTGACACCTTTGGGTTAGCAGCACTAGTCTCAACGGGCCACAGTAGCAAGTTAAATTGCTAGCACCTCACTGATGGTTCAAATCCACCAGCAGTACCTCAGAAGAATGATGGGCCTTATCTTCCATGTCGTTTATGGCCACCAACAACCGATGGAGCCATGAGTCAGCTATGAATCAATTGCAAATCCAAAGTAATGAGTGTTCTAGGGAGGCAGAGACTGCTTCAACACAGAATCTGCACCCAAGTAACAGAATATTTTAATACAAGTGACATATTCTGCCACAGAGAAAGAGGAGAGTGTGCAGACTTGGGAGGCAGAAAGTTTCCCAGGGGACAGTGTCAGAACCTGCTTGAGAAACATAAGGAATAGAAAAGGTGGGGCACAGGAAGTCAGGAGAAGGAATCTGATAAACTGTAGATAGAGCATGGGAAGGTGAAGCACGTATGAGGGGATAGGACAGAAAGAAGGAACGCAGCAGCCTGCAAAAGGACACTGAGCAGGTGGACGGGGTGTTACCAAGAGAAATTCAATGAGAGGAAGGCTGAGTCAAGCCTTCTCCTACTTGTTCCCCAAAGCTGGAATACTAGGAGTTTCAGAGAAGCTGATTGTGGTCAACCTGCTCAGTTCCAGGGTGACACTGACACAGGAGAGTGGGGGTCAAGGGGCTGGGAAAGTACCAAAATTCTAAGTCTCCTGTTTGGTGTGGGAGAGATGTGCAGGGCTGGGGACATCTATGGTCCAGAGAGGAGGCAGTTCATATTCTACAAAGCAGGCCAATATAAATGTACCCAGTTGGGGGCTGCCACCCTTGATGTTCAGGAAAAGTTCAGTGAATCTTACAGCTGATAAATTATCTGTTTCACTCATATCCTGACCCAGCTCATCCTTGGCAGCTAGTGGGAGAATTGATCTTCCAATTATCTGTTATTATCTCTTTAGAAGCTATATGACCAATAGGGCTGAAATTTGGTGGGAAAAAAATTCATTGGTATGTCTTTGCAAGATGATTATCTATTTTTATTTATCTATTTCTAGAATAAAGGAAACTGTTCTTTGGGAACTGGAAAACCAGCATTTAAGACCAGCTCTGCCACATCCAGCCGTGAGGTTGGGCAGGTGCCTTTCCACTCCATGCCTTGGTTTACTACTTGGTGATTGGGAATAATGACAATCACTCTCTTGTCAAGTCACCATTAGTGAGGACACACCAGCACAGTACCTGTAAGAGTGTACATTGTACCACCTATAAGAGGTGCCCACATACATTTCCTCCAGGGCCCAGATTCCTCAGGTCTGAGTGACTATAGCAGAGACAAAGACCCGTCCACTTAGGACCCAGACATACCATCAGCATGAATTGGGCATTTCTGCAAGGCCTTCTGAGTGGCGTGAACAAGTACTCCACAGCATTGGGTCGTATCTGGTTGTCAGTGGTGTTCATCTTCCGAGTGCTGGTGTACGTGGTGGCTGCTGAAGATGTGTGGGCTGATGAGCAGAGTAACTTCGTCTGTGACACCAGGCAGCCAGGCTGTCTCAATAGCTGCTATGATGCGACCTTCCCCGTGTCCCACGTGCGCCTGTGGGCCCTGCAGCTCATACTGGTCACCTGCCCCTCACTGCTGGTGGTCATGCATGTGGCCTATCGAGAGGAGCGAGAGAGGCGCCACCGCCTGAAGCATGGACCGAACGCCCCCTCCCTGTATGAAAATGCAGGCAAGAAGCGAGGAGGCCTCTGGTGGACATACTTGCTGAGTCTTATCTTCAAGGCCACCATCGATCTCAGCTTCCTCTACATCTTCTATCGCATTTACAAGAATTTTGACATGCCCCATGTTGTGGCCTGCTCTGTGAATCCCTGCCCCCACACTGTGAACTGCTTCATTGCCCGACCCACAGAGAAGAAAATCTTCACCTACTTCATGGGGAGCACAACTGTCCTCTGTATTCTGCTTAACTTATGTGAAGTCATCTATATGGTGTTCAAGAGGTGTATTGAGAATCTGTGCTTTAGTGAAGAAAACTCCAAAGCCATGATCAACAACTTGACACTTGACCCAAGCTCACAATTTGACACATGCCCACCATATGTGTTCTCCCAAGAAGGAGTTCTACTAGTTGAGAACTCCGGCCAAATTAAGTCCGGGTTAAATACAACAGATATAGGAGAGTATCCATATAGGATGCAGACAAGAATATAGGATGACTATGTTTGCCCTACCTGCTTTCCAAACTTCCAGGAAAATCAACAAAGGCAATGCCACTTGCCTTCTGGAACTGGGCAAGTGAGGAAGATGAATCTGGGATTCAAGAAGCTTGCCCAGAGTCCAACACCTGAAGAAGGCCAGCCACGGAATCCTGAACCTTCATGGGAAGAGTGTTGGTAGGGAGGCAACAAGTTGGCTGGTGGGGATTCTACGTATGAGGATTCTGTTGTTCTTGTTAAGTGCCATCGAGTCGAGAATGAGTGACCTTATGAACAACAAATATGAACCTTGTCCTTACCTGTATCATCTTTCAAAACCCTTAATAAATATGCATGTTTTATAAGTTGCAGACTGACTGAGAAATGATGGCTGATGGGAAGAAAGGGGATTCACAATGGAAGTCAAGGGTAAAAGGCCCCTAGAATCTGCTCTTTGGCTCAACTAACACTCTCCTAGACACACAGTATGTAGCCCTAAAATGTAGCAAGAAATTACCAGAAGCAGCCATAATGCCAGTTGCTCTGGCTTCTGGAGCTGCTAGTCAAGACAAGGGGAGATCCCAGAAGACTCTGAGCCCAACATGATTTCATTGTCAATGAGTATCCTCAGCTGAATGTCAGTCAGAAAACCTCTTTAAATATAAATCTGAGTCTTACCCCCACCCTGATATCAGTCCCATTCTACAACAGTGGCACTATGCAGTATTTGTCTTTTTGTGACCAAGATATTTCACTCAGTATAATGTCCTCTAGGGTCACCCATTCTGAATAATATTGCATGAGTTCCTTGTTTTTCAATGCAACATAGTATTCCATTGTGTGAAAAACTGGATAAATTATGCATACTGCATTGAAGCATGAAAAAAACGATATATGAAGGGTATTATGGTCATGACAAGAGTCCAGAATGAAGGTCATGGAGTGTACTAGGGGCGGGGGGACCTCATACTAATGAAGGAATTTTACTTTGCAAAGAGAGGTGCGCGCAAACTCGGGGGGAAGGGTGGGCAGGGAGAAAAGTGCAACAATGAATGAATGGAAATCCAAAATCTCTGGAAACTGTTAATTAAAATTAATAAAATAAAAACAATTTTAAAAAGTAAATCTGTTAAAACAACTATGAGATATCATCTCATCCTAGTCAAAATAGCAAAATTTAACATAACAGCAAGCAACAAATGCTGGTGAGGTTGTGGAGAAACTGGAATCTTTATTCACTGTAGGTGGGAGTGTAAGAAGGTGCAACCACTGTGGAAAGCAGTATGGCGCTTTCTCAAAAAGTTGCAAAAAGAGATACCATTTGACCCAGCAATTCCACTGCTGGGAATATACTGAGTAAGATGGGTTCAATAATGCATACTGCACTGAAACAGAGGAGGGAGAAAACTGTTTAAAAGAGAAATGTGATTAGGTATTTGTGTCATGACAGGAGTCTAGAGTAATAGCTACATGGTGGAGTGGACCTGGTGGAGGTTTTATAAAACAATGAAAGAATTTTTCTTTTACTTTTCCAAGAGGGTAGTGTTCTGGGGGGGAGGCATGGGAGGGGA